AGAGGAAAGAATGGGAAAGAAAAGTGTGATTTGACGGTGGAGAAGACGTATAGGAAGGGAAAATGTCCTCTTTATGTGCGTCTCCTCCTCCGTCAATCAAGGATTGGCAACGCATCTGCAATTGCGGATGTTTATGGGCAGCGGTCGCTTTTCATTTCGGTGGATTCAGGTGGACGCTTGCTCGTTTGCCACCTTATGTTATAAAAAAAAATAGTAAATTAGCAAAAGTCTACTAATGTTATCCATTAAAAAAAAAATCTCCAAGTCCGATGAAAATACGAACTTATTTGTCTCATTTATTACATTAAATATTAAACAGTCAATACGTTCAAAATAAAATCGTTTCAATGCTATAGCTTAGTGAACGATTTCCTCTGTATCAGTGATGAATTTTAAAAATCAGGAAAAGGTATGTTATAAAGTAATCATCAATTTTAAAGTTATGAAATCACTTCTCGGTGCAAACTTTCTTTACATTTAGACTTTTCGGAACTGATTTTAAAAAATCTTTAAAAAAGATTTACTATTTCAAAGAAAAAGTTTAAACATTTTAATCTTAAAGTAATTATGCTAAACGAAAACCATTCTTCCTTTTTTTTTTAGATATTTCAGAGAAGTATTTAAAAGGTTTTTTTTTAACATTACTAATAACAGAAATATTTCATCATCATCATCATCATCATCATCCTTATCCTACTCCCTTAGGGTCGGCACAACAGGTTTTTGTCCTCAAAATAACATTTCAAATTTTATAATTAAAAAATCATGAAACAAGAATCATTTTGACGTGGATTCTTAAATATGTTTTCAAATGACATGTAATTTTTGGTATTACTCAATAAGTTCGTAATACACATTTATTACGAATTTTTCATACCTTTCCGACCGAAAGTATCAATTTAGAAGCGGCTTGTTTTCAAGTTATATTTTAACTCGGCACAATTTAACGAGTATTGTACACGAAAGTTCAAATAAGGTATCGCCCGGTCTGCACATTCCTTCTTCAGTGAAGTGCTTACAAAAAAATTAAAGGTATGTTTTATTTATAGTCATGACCTACATACTTTTCCAATTCCTCAGAATGACGATTTGGGGTAATTTAGAATTACAAGTAGGTACATGACTTGAAAATTTTTGACATATTTCGTTTGGAAAGGTAAAAGTAATTATGATTCGACGATTCCTTTACCAAGAAATTTTGTTTGTGACTTTTTCTACTTATTAAATGATATTTATTTTTCGTTTATTTTAATCGAAATTCAAAAACGTAAAAATACAAATTTCAATCCAAATTTTAAATTACTTGGAAGTAAATATCATATCAATTGCTTTTTTTTCTATCAAGTGATGTTTGTATTTTATAAAAAAACACATTTACTAGCTTTTGAAAAAAAGTTTGCAGTCTATGTAATATCCCAAACTATACTCTACATCTTTCATGAATTCCATCACGATGCGTTGAACTCTTCCGAAGATACTATTTAACAAAGAGCAAACATTCATTTATTTGTTATGGTTAAATTGGATTTAAATAGCTTATATAGGTGTGCATTTACCACAACGTACTAGTTGGCTTGAGGCGAAGCGGACGTGCCCTGGCGTAGATAATACGTCCACTCAGTAAATAAAGGTACACCGAGTATTTACAGTGACATTCAATGTCAATAGAATGTTCGCTTTGTACCGACTCAGGGAACAAACAAAGGTAATCCCCACCGGCGAGAGATATCCTGAGGGGGGCACCGAAGTCACTGCTCGCTGCTCGGCGCGATGCCGAGGTTCATTGATTTTATCTTACGACCTAAAGAACGACTGTTTTGATCAAAGATTAGAACGATGTTTTTGTTTCGCCTTCATTTTATAAACATAAAATTTAAATTGGAACAGATAACGGTTTGTCTTTACGTTTTTGTTACAAATTGTCTTAGATTTTCCTAATTATTTTTCATTTCACTTAATAGTACGATTATACATAGAATTTTATCACTTACAATGTAAACATATATACTTATATAGTTTACATTTTAAGACATCAAACCATTTCTTTAACTCTTTTAACATGTTCTGTTAAAATTATTGAATATACTTTTTAATTAACAATAACGACATAAGGAATCGAACTTGAATCTCTGGGGAATGTTCCAACATTTAACTGTTAGGGTTTTATTCAATTAATAACAACCCACAACTTGCCAAGCCCTTTTATCGTGTTTCAATATGACAAAACACAGTTATATTTTTATGAAAAAAATACATTAGGTTGATTTGAAATGTCAGACTTTCTTTTTGCTATTTAAAAAGCAAATGGAGTTTAATGTTTTTTTTAATATCATTATGAAATTGGTATAATTTCTTTGTGTTTTATTAACTAATTTAGGAGTATTTGAAATGGGAATGAATAGATTGGTTAGTATGTACTCTATCTTTAAATCAATAGTCATTATTTATGTAATTGAAAAGCTAATGAATATGGATTTAGGTACACTATTTATTTAGTAACGTTTGCTGCTTGAAATTATTGCAAATATTTACATTATTACTTTTATAAGATAAACTTAATTCATTCTACAGTTAAATCAAAATCAATTCAATGTAATATTTAAATCTTGCTGTTGAAATGTAATTAATATTTTTAAATCGTATCTAATATCAAATAATTACTTAATTAAAGAAATTCTGTATAGTAACTACACTTTACTTTAATTAAAAAATAACTGTTGCCCGCAATTTCGTCTGCGTGGAATAATAAAACTGAATTAAGTAAGCAGAGTATGCGTTAGTTTAGATGTATAGTTACCTGCTAACAAACATCCATCTATTCATCTAAACCTTCGCATTTATAATATTACTAATATTTGCGATGTATTCGTGTAATACATCAGTAAGTTGTTAACAACATCTGTCAGAGGGCCTGGCAAATGAGACGGTGTTCAAGGCGAGGATGCTAATGTCACCCAGCCACTATATTTTCCAGATAAGCGCCCCGTTGACGTCTGGCCTTACGCTAGTTTCACACGAGGGTTAAACAAAAAGGCAGAGCAGTAAAGAGTGCAGTACTAGTACTATAATTTTTGTAACGTTTGCGTCCAAACAGTAGCAGTAGTACTGTTCTTTACTGCTCTACTTCCTTTTGTTGCCTTCGTATGAAACTAGCCTGTCTTCGCTCGCTTATTTCATTAGACGTTTGCTTTGACTTAAACTTACTGTTAACTTAGTTTGACTGCAATTAGATTGTCCGCCTATTATGTAACGATAGAAAATAACTTTGTTATTTGTTGTTTGAACTAAGATTATTCAAATTAATGACTCGTTACAGAATAATAATATTAGCTTCAAAGAGGTGTATTTAGCTGTGTATTTTTTATCGAAATCTCTAAATCGACGATATTCAATCATAGTCCTCACATCGTAAAATTTTCACCTGTCTTGCAATTTTATGAGTACAATTTTTTACATTTTTCTCTTTAACGCTGTAAGGTCTCGGGTGTAAATTGTGCTGGATATTCGAACCGACGTCGTTAGCGCTGCACAAAGGTCTCCCCAGGGCCGGCTGCGACGCCCGGCTACCTTCATAAATCTTTTCCACCGGCTTTCCGCAACTAACAAGCCAACGTACTACCATCTCGTGTCGATTCCCTCACCTACTAAATAACACTGACAAAACTTTTATAACAACGCCCTAAATGTATTAAAATACACCGCGTTACGAACTAATCGAGCTTGTAATTGAGTTGGCGGCAGTCGATAGAGTTTTTGCGATAAATTCTACCGCCTTTTTAAGTGGTTTGTAAATAGAAAAATTTACTGGGACAAAAAAATTTAACTGAATTACAAGTCTTTCTTTTTAACGTAGTATATCATTAATTTATGTAAAGAAATCTTGTACCTTTAATTTTTTAATCGTATTTTGTTCCTTCTACTTTGAGCACGTAGTATGGACTATATTATATCGACTAATTTCTGTCGACTTTTGATTTCCTAGTACCTATATCAAAAGTATTAAAAAAATGAAACACGGATTAATAGTCGCATATTGAACTGCACAGCGGCTATATCCGCATAGAATTCGACTGAAGTTTTTATCCTCGTTTTGCATCCATTCTGACCTTTTCCATGGTGTATTGAAATGAAACGCCGTCCATTCTATGAACGCTATGGTTTTAATAAACTACCAAAGAGTCGGTATATGAAGCAATGTATCGGATGAAACAAATACAAATATGTTCCATGTGTTCTTTTGATTACTAATAGTTTTCGAATGATTTTGTATTGGTTAAACAAACATATTCCTTTTAAAATCATTTGATGACCTGAACTCGATGATCTAATATAATAAGAATGTAGTAAATAAATAGAAAAATCTAACGATTTTAAACCTGCTCCAACTAAATAACTGTCAGCTACAAAATAAAAACTACAACAGCGATAGTTATTTGTTTCCGCACAAAAATAACAATGGCAACACAATTTTACATTTTCTAAATTCAAATTTGGAACCTTTAAATAAAACATTCGCGAATCATAATCTATCGTTATGACAACATGGTTTTAAAACTTCTAGAAGTATTTAAGGCAGTAATTTTAAAACAATTACGGATATTTATTAAAAAACGAAAACATTTTGTCATGTTGTATTCAGTCGGCTGACAGATATTAACGAATATCCTCGGTGAAGCGATCAATCAATCTTGGTAAAACTTTTTCTTTTACTCTGAGGCGTTTTAAGAAAAAAAAAAACTTTAACAATACACAATAGTTTATTCTTAGAAGTTTCTTTTTATTGCTTGAAATTTGGAAATGACTTTTAACTTTAAAATAGATATGTCATGTTTATCAAGGTTTTATTTGGAAGTTTGTTGAATTTGTATTTACCAGGAAATTTGGTCGTAATTTTAACTGGTTTTGGCCAGGTACCTTAATGACGATTTAAGGGTTTATCTTTTAATTGTTTACAGCATGTTGAAAATGATTGTTTTAACAAAAACTTTCTTTTGTTTCAGTATCGATGGCGAAGCATTTTTGCGCTGGGAACTGGCGGTTGTATACTCCTCTTCTGGAGGTTGAAATTCAAAGGGAATCCATCGCCTTTCGCTACTGCGGACAACCCAACAGCAAGGGACCCGTCTTTTTTTACTCGACTTTACACTTTCGCGTACCTGCCAGTGTTTAATTTTTTTCTCCTCTTGTATCCATTCCATTTAAGCTTCGATTGGTCAATGGATTCAATACCAAGGATAACGACAATCTCTGATCCGAGAAATATATCATCCGCCATATTTTATTTTGTTTTATCGAAATTAACGTGGCGAGCGTTTTTAATGCAAATAAAAATATTTCACGATAAAAAGATAAAATTTTATAAGAAAGCAGCTCTGAAAATTAAGTCGAAATGGAATTATAATTGCAAGAAACAAATGAAAATTTTAGAAATTGAAAGAAGAACAGTTATAACTAACAATGTTAGTAGTAAAGCATCAATATGCCCATGTAACGGATGTAAACACTCCTTAACAATGGATCATACAAATGTTTGTCGTACAATTAATAATAATAACACAATGATGCATAACTCTAATTGCATATGTGTGAAACCACAAGAAAAAGTAAAAGAAAAGGAAAAAGTAAAAGTTCAAATAGCTAAGAAGTACGTGTATAGCACGACACAAGCGTCTATTATTGTTTTTGTCGCATTTATGGTGCTACCATTCGTGCCGGCTAGTAATATTCTATTCTACGTGGGTTTTGTTGTTGCGGAGCGTGTGCTTTACATTCCCAGTATCGGATTTTGTTTATTACTCGGACTAGGAGCAGGTTCTTTGACGAGAAACTGGAATCGGAATGAACTACGATGTAGAATATTTATGTTCACCTTGATGATCACTTTGCTGACAATGTGCGGTTGCACGTTGCGCAGGAATCTGGATTGGCATGATGAAGAAAGTCTATTCAGAAGCGCATTGCATATTAATCCCCCAAAAGGTAAGATTTTTTTCCTTCAATGTATATTTTAGTCCTTTTAGTTATCGTAATTATTCTTTATGAGACAACCTTTCTATCAATTAAATTTTACCATTGACAATATTCTTACAAAAGGGAGATGAGAAGAGAGAGATTAGTAGTCTCTCGCGCTAAGATTTGCTGTTAAACAGTAAAATTGAATTTTCCAACTTACCTATAATATATTTTAAATTTAATCAACTTAATCCACTAACAAGCAAACTTCTATCTTACGACAAAGATTCATTAATCATTTGGGAAATCACGTTTCGAGTTGAAAACTTTTAAATTATTACAATTTGCAATGTTTTCGTGGCATAACAAAACGACTCGAGGCAGAGTAATATAAAGTTGGCAGCGCCTGTAATTTTACTCTGTACCTTGCCCGAAACTTTGTTCGGAGCACTTCCACGTTCTGTTCAAACTAAGACACAATTAATTTGTTTGAGAGACAGCTACAAAGTACCTGTCCGTGTGGCGTCAGCTCGTCAAAGTTGAAAAGAGGCGGTCGCGTCGTGGCCGGCCTCTGCTCTACAGACTATCAACTCGAGAGCTTTTAATGTATTCGCCGTTTCCACTCGCAGTAAGATTCTTGACCTTTCTAGGACGCCATTAAACATGCATGTACGGTATCCCGAGGGAGTCCGCCCCGGGCCCGTGTTCACATTACAAACTTTTGCGCAAAGCGAAAACTTTTACCTGATGGTTCTCATTTTACTTTAGTTCTAGAGCCAACTCGGAAAGGCGTTTTATTTCGTTTATATATGAATAATACGCTGTATTCATGTTTGTATTTAGAATGTACGTAAATCGATTTTATTAGGAATTGCTAATTTAATTTCTTAAAGATTAACGTTTTTTTTTAAAATATGGATAACAGTTATAATTGTTTAGTGCCAACATTATTTTTAGTAGCGTTCCCACATGAACAATTTTTGACCAAAGAAAACGTGAGTTTTTTGAATAGCTAATTTTGTAACGGTTACATTTTATAAAATCATGCAAATGTACATAATTTTTTCCTTTTCGCAACTACGAAAAGCGTTAAAAGCAATTTCCTGATAATATACAAAAATGAAACAGTAAACAAAATTGTACTAAAACATTGATTACTCGAATACCGTTTAAAATTTCAGCTTTACCTTTTACAAAAGCGAGCTTAGTTCGGAATAATCTTTTTTATGGAAATCTTCTGTTTTCACCTCGCACTAAAAGCTAATTGGATCCAATTTGTCCCAATGGGATATTCGAAACAGACCAATCACGAGCTGTCCTTGCTACAAATTGGTTAGGGCAGAGATAGTGGCGCGTAATCAGTCGACTCTGGCGTTTTATCGAATTCAACTTTTGTTGCGATTGCGAATGTATTGGTGCTACAAGTGATTGAGTCCATGTTTGCAATCTTTTGTTTCTTTTGTTACGATTAATAGCCTTGTTTATTAAAAAAGTTTTTACGTAAATCTTTTTACTGTAATTGGATGCTCGTTTATACTTTTGTACAACAAAACAAGTTGTGTTTATGATTTATTTAAATTCCTTTTTTCGAATTGGAATAACACATATTTAGAATCCTTGGAAGCACTTAGATTAAGAATATAAAATTAATAATATGAAAGTATCAATGTTTTATATGATTTTACTTTCCCGTTGTAATTAGTTGTTGATGGTAAGTTTAAGAGACAATATTGTAAAGATTTCATCTATGATTTGAATCAACTAAGTCTTAGTAAATGTGTATTTAGAGTACACAGACCTCTATCTCTCCCAATCCAATAAAATAGTCGTGATAGATGGAATAAAACAAAAAAAAAAGCAACTCCGGAAACGGTCCGTCGTTTACGGCCGTATTTCGGGTCGTATTTTACTTCATAGGTCGATATAAAGGTCAAAAGTATTACTTTAATGGACGTCAAAGGGAATTGTTTGAAATCGGCAACGTCTATTTGAAACTTAATATTTGTATTGTAAAAAACCTTTTTCAGAAAATAAATAAAATGAAAATATTTATATTTTCGACAACAATCAACAATTTGAGGAATATTTTAAAATATCATAAAGATTCCTAATATTGATTAAGGATCTGTCTTTCATTTTTTTATGAGCACAGAATGTTCTGTTGATTTTTATAAACATGAACCTAAATTACTTATTATTTCGATGTTACATGGTTAAAACAACTTAAGATGCATTATTTTAGAATCGCACAGTTTTATACTCAAACTACTACAAACCTGATACAGGTAAATTCTATCCAATTTTCATTTCAAAATGATTCAACTGATATGTTACGTAGATTGTGAATAGTAAAAGGGAGACGGTGTGTCGCGTCCGTTGCGATGGTATCGTAGTTCTGTATAAGCTTACGTTTTATCAAGTCTATCTTTGCGGAGTCTGAGTAGTTTCCCAAAGATTAGAATCGTTAGTATCACTAACCAGCTTTGCACTGTCATATCGCTTAGTAGCATCTCTCATTCCAGGTTTCCTTTACTTAACGGGTTATCTGATTAGAGTAAATGCACTCAGGTTTATTAGTTACAAGTGATAATATCTGGTTACTAGTTTAACTTTGAAAATAGAACTCGGTGTCTCTAATTTTTGAGGATATCTTCAAATCCATTAAAATGTGCAGGTAGTTTATCGATTTTGAGTGTGTACTGTTGCGTATAAAATAACTCTCAGTCGTAAGTAGTGTCTTATACTACTGTAAAATTATAGCTTCCTACGTTTTGTATTATTAACTATTTACCTAGTGAGTGTACGAGCAAAAACATCCGGAATGCTGACTCCAGCCGGGTAAACTAAGATTGCGATTATTATATTCACTCGAGTTCCCTAATCTGAGCGCAATAAATTTGGAGAAACGTTGGGGTTCGGTACCAATTCCGAAAAATACAAGAAATACACATTTCCCCGATACAAGAGATTTATAACCTAAAAGTACTCGAACTGTAGGAGTAAGAATTAATATTTCGCTCTTAATTTATAAAATAGGGACATGAAATAGTAATAATAACACAAAGTTACAGTTTTGAATTCCATATATAATGTACAAATCGTAGACTTTGTGAGAGCTTTTCTAAAATGTGAAATGCGGAAAATGTGCATGTAAATATTTGAGGCTGAGAATAATATTTTAGCATATTACATTATGATTGTGTTTATTTTAGCGTACGGGAACCTGGGCAGCGTGCTCACCACACAGGGGAGGATTGCGGAGGCGGAAGTTGCATTCGGCCGGGCTCTCAAATACAGGCCAAACATGGCCGATGTGCACTACAATTTGTAAGTATATTATTATATTTCTTACATTTCTTCGTCATTTATATTCATGCTTTGGCTCTATGTTTGTCCATAAACTGAATATTTGATAGGAATAAAATTAACTCTCGAGTTTTAGGTAAAATAGACGGTTTTTACTGAAAATAGTTGTAAAGAATAACCGTTTATAATTAAAGAAACAATGTGTGGTCTTTTGTCGTATTTTAGTTGATTAATTATTGAGTTGTTCACGTTTATCGCAACATTTCACTGGTTTTAGCAGTACAGTGTAAAAGACATCCTTTTTCTAACTTTTAAACTATTTTGTCAAATTAATTTACGTAAAAACAAAGTTTAACTACATTAATTTCTCAAATAAACAAAATACCATAAGCTGAAAAATATTTTATAGAAAGACTTAATTTGATTTATTCTCTAACATTTATTAGGTAACCTATACGTAGACTATAAATAATAATTATTTTAATACAAGAATCCCGTATGGTTTTTCGCCTCGTCACTTTGAGACACAAAATTATTCCACTTCAGAAATTTCAGTAGCCTCAATAGCCTTTAAACTGTAACAGTATTTATCTCATAAAATAGGCTTGTTACTAAAATATAATAGTACATAAATTTTATATAATAGTAAAGTAATTACATTATTTAATAGTAAAGTATACGATTTATGTAAAATGTTCTAGTATTACATTTTGTTCAGATATATACACACGAATAGACAGCATATTCCACAAACTTAAATTTAGTAAATTAATTAAATTTTAATTTGCACATAAATTTCCTTAACGGCATCGGTTCGATGAACGAAATAAATAAGGTCGGATTCCACTGTTAGAATTACGAAACAATCAATAGGCACGCAACACGACTGCTTGTCCCATTAATTTGGCGAGGAACCGAGTTCTTGAATTAATCGGGTGCGCTAGTCTCTATCCCGCCACCTAAGCGTTGGGTTTCCGTGCAGTTTCACAAATTAACGTCAAGTGATCCGTTCCTATAATGTACAGCGCTGTTACAAGTTCCCTTCTAAACGTCGGAAAACACGTTCCAGTTAAAACATTGCATTATTTAATTAGTGTATTAATTCAATGTTGTAGTTTGTAGAACATTAATTTAAAGACATTTAAATTAGTTCATGTTCTAAGAAAGCTTTTGGTTGTTTTGAGGATAGTAAAATCAAATTTCTTTTTTCGTTTATTTAAAAAAAAACTTAAGATGTAGCTGCCATTTCACAGAGATTGTAAATTTATTCGTTCTGTTAATATTGGTATATTATAGTTTAAAATAAAATAAAATACAGTTTTAAAAGTAGTTGCGCTATTTGCCGAGGGATGGCGTTGTAATTAAGAAAATATTGTTATCGGTGTTTGGTGATGTATCAATACGGAAATACAATGATTTCAATTACAGTCCTTGAATTTCATATGAAATGGCGCCACATGAGTCATTTTTAATTATAACTCATTATTCGACGTAAAAAATAGTTTTGTTGAAATTAGGTTGTGGGATCAATTTATAAAATATATTTACAATTTATATACTTTTAACGCGTAACTGATGCCCAAGCTATATACTATTTAACATAACAAACGTGTATATATATTAAAAACGCTTTACTTTTAATAGAACACTTTACTATCTACCTGTTTCTTCTAGTTGTGTTAAACATGTTTATACTCCTCAATAAACTGAAGTAAAACAAAAATAAATAGACGGTGTCCAAAGCTGTTGGTTACGTTAAGGCGTTATTAAGAGCACTTGTAACAGACGAGAATGTGTGTGTAGATACTGATGTGAAGGAAAGTGTGTCGGAGTCTCGGGGTCACGGGCGTTAGAGCTTTTATTTTTTTAAAGTCATCATCGTGAGAATACTTCGAGTTCGAATCTCGATCTCGTTTTCTAGGATTTCATGTTTTAACAACGTTTATTGTGTCATTTGCTTTTCATTTTTAAATTACTTTATAAATTGAGTCCACGACCAAGAATGTTTTTAATAAGCACCCACGTGTGTCTGGAAAATATGTTTACGACATCAAGATTACATAATATGTATCTTCTTTATAAATAAAAAAAAACATATTTTCTGAAAACATTTGAGCAGTTTATACAAGAAAAGAAGATTCAAAATTTTCGTCTGTTTGCAAGTCAGATATATGTACCATCAAACGACTGGACCTATTTTGGATGGAAAGGGACCGATGCATACGTTAAAGATAATTTATAAAATATAATTTAAATAAAACATAACGGTATCAACTTATCCCTAGTTTCTAAGTTTACTAACGAGTAAATATAACGACGTAAAATATAACGATATTTACATACGTAGAACAAGTGATGCAAGAAATAATTGACACCATAACTTGTATCACAATTCATTAAAAAATATTTATTTGAATAACAGTAAAATTCTACATAACACTGTATACGCTGATTTCATAATTCTTCGACGCGATAATAATAGACTTGGTTTCTAGTCTAACGAAGTCGTATTCAAATGTGTCAATGAAAAAAATTGTATTATGCAAAATGTTTGTTCATTAGTTTTAAATAAAAATCTCTTTTGTGCTATGTACTGGTACTATTTCCTCATTTCAAAAAATAAGTTCTTTTATAGTATGAAATATAAAAAATGGTTCTTTTTCTTCGTATTTGAATATATCCAGTTAAAGTTTTTTTTGTTAAATAGAGTTTTAGTATCATGGTTGAAAATCTTCCGATGTAAATGTATGAGAATAATAATTAAATTCAGAACCGTTTTATCCTGTTACCTAAAATTGCTTTCTGTAAAATAAAATGGAAAGAGAAATGAACTGCGATTTTACACAAAGATTAGGTAATTCCAATTCTAGCGGCAAGAAATCACTTGAGCACGTACATGTCGCTAGAGAATTTGTGTAGGGGAAGTATTGCGAATAAAATCACCTTGTAGCAAGTTGTTTATTCAACGATTTGCTTAGAATAATGTTTTATGTAATTATTCAACTATAACAATAAAAAGATAATTACAAAAATCATCTATTTCGTTTATTTTGTTAATGGAAAACAAGTTATTTAAAACTTTTTTTTAACACGATAGTTTTTTTTAATTTATAGCCAGAAGAATTATTGATATTTTTAATTCTAGAACAATATCTTCTTGACTTAGTATATATGATGTAGATAGCTATAAATACAGTATATCAAACTACTATTGACGTTCGCAATATAGTGAAAATATTTAGTAGAAGAACGCAAACAATTTCAAGAGTCAGGCGTCGCTTGCGCTGCCTAGCTGCTGGCGATAAGGCATAGATTAAACTCGTGTTCGCTCACAAACACATATTTAACATTCTCGACGGCTAGACTTGCGAGAACTTGTGGAGCATTTGTATTTCACATGTTGGCGACATAATTCGGTTTATAAATGCCTTGTAACATGCTCGTACAATGGATTTATGGTAAACGATAAGATTAACTATTTCCCTTGAAAGCTTCGAGTTACGTCGCGTCAACATTGAAAGCTTACATGCTTTGAGATATGTATTTTGTTTGTTTTACTACAGTATTCAGTATTTTAATTATTAGTAAAAAAGTTTTAAGAATAATCTACCCTTACAAGCTAATTAAGAAATTATTTGCCCGGCAGTAGGCCATATAACTTTGAATTTAATTTAACTAGCAACATTGTAAAAGATATAAAAAACGTTTCCTGCATTCCGATTATAGCGTGCGAAGTTTCACACATGTTATTCTTTACGTATAAATTGTAGGTAATAATAATTATGAGTGTAGTAATGATTAGTTTTATTTACAATTTGTCACCTCGGTTGGATCTGAGAATGTCGGTATCGCGTGACCGGCGCGCCGCGGGGGCGTCGCGGGGGCATCGCGGTCGTATCCGTGAGCTCACCCCGTATAAATTACTTTCAATTTATCCAACCACGTTTACCTTACAACTCAAATGTGCCGAATTAAACGATAAATTTAACATCGCTTTTAAGTTACAGAAAATTTTAAATTACATACATCTTATTAAGCCTATCTATCTATGAAATGGCCTATTTCACTTTTAAACTATTAGTTTTTAATGGAATCTAAAATACTTGCTTTGGAGGACGAAAACCCGGTGCGCCGACCCTACGGGAGTAGGATAAGGCAGGGGAGATGATGATGATGATGGAATCTAAAATACTTTGGTAACTGTAATATTAAAAGTCATTCGAAAATGTGATGAAAATCTCTTCTCGCATAAAATTGGCGAGACATAAAATTATAAAAAAAGTTATTACAAAACTCGACACCACACAACGCACGTTACAATAATTAGAGGGGAATTAGTAACAAATTATTGTTGGCGTAGGCGAGGCGAGGCGGGCACAATAGGTCGGGCCGGTTGGACGGTTCTCATTAGTGTAGCCTCAGCCGCGCTGAGCCCGCCTCGTTGCGGAGCCTGCATTATTCATGCGGACAATATTGCACTACCGCCGTACCCCTGTAATATTGAAGCTACTTCTTTTACTCCCTCTCCCTACACCCTTACAACCCCCTACTCAAATGTCTAAATGATCCTCGATACTCGGCCGACCAGTAATTAGAACGTCGATAACAAATAACGTTTATTAACATTTATTGTAATAGAAGCAAGCGTTTTAATAATAAAACATAAGAGAGACTAATTGCCACAACCAGAGCAGTTAATTCGTCACTAAATGTAGCACTTAGTGTAGATTTTTTATCGTGCCAAATTTACATAAAGATACTTTTAATGTGGCTGTAAAAGCTGTTAACTAACAGTAGAGCAACGTTTAATAAGTGTAGTGTTACAATAAGTCAACGGTTAAAGTATTAAAAACTACAATTTTAAAGAAAGTAAGACAATATCATGGTATTTTAAAGACATTTACGAAGTTATAAATCCACTAGCTATGTTAAAATTATGTCTATGATGGAATATAACGGTTCATAATTCATTTCCAGCAGAGTTTTTACTGTTTAAACTATCGTGAGACATTACTTTAAGCGAAAATTAATTAAAAACGGCTCAACTCACGCTTTTTTCCTCCGGTGACGGCACCGACTAGTTTCGGATCCTTCGGGGATCCTTCTTCAGGGCGAGTATTATTTAACTTTTGTTCGCGGTCGCGTCGCGCCTCGCACTGCGGGCCAGGGCGCGGAGGGCGCGGTTCGAGGGGGCGGGGGGCGCCAAGAGCGTTGTGGCCGCTTCGTGCTTCGGCGACGGAGATGTCGACGGGTTCAAAAATGTTGAAGTGTCGCTATTGTTGTTATTAAAATTTACGGCGGTGGCAGAGCACGCCCTTACCTCCAACACATCTCATTATATTAGGTTTGATCGAGTGAGAGTCTTGGCCCGGGACAAAAACTACGTGTCACGGAAGTTACTCGAAGCCATCGAAATCGGACGTCGACCTAACTTTAATAGAGATAAGGGATGGTCTCTTTCTCCGTCTTGGAAACCCGTGTTATCAATACCGAAGCAGAAGAACAACGATGATGAATACATGACTGACATTGTCAGTACATTCTGCGCCCCGTTAAATTTTAATAACAACAATAGCGACACTTCAACATTTTTGAACCCGTCGACATCTCCGTCGCCGAAGCACGAAGCGGCCACAACGCTCTTGGCGCCCCCCGCCCCCTCGAACCGCGCCCTCCGCGCCCTGGCCCGCAGTGCGAGGCGCGACGCGACCGCGAACAAAAGTTAAATAATACTCGCCCTGAAGAAGGATCCCCGAAGGATCCGAAACTAGTCGGTGCCGTCACCGGAGGAAAAAAGCGTGAGTTGAGCCGTTTTTAATTAATTTTCGCTTAGAGTTTTTACTGTTTGAATGATATGAGTGACATGTTACAGGGGAATCCTTCTACAGAACCAGCGGCGGTATGGAGAAGCTATCACAAGTTTTGAGAGAGCCATTTATTTTAGACCATCGATGGCATGTGAGTATATCGAGTACATATTTTTATTGTACAAGAATATTATATTTACAACTAAATCTATTTTTTATTTTGTTTATTATTGTAATTAAATTAAATTAATAATTAAAAGAAAAACTCAAACACAACGGTTCTCATCTCTAACAGTCGTAATCTCCCTTAGCGTAGATTTAGAATCGTAACATCTTCCTTAGTGTTCAATTAAGGTTTCTGTAGGGCCATTAATCCTACAATTTTCGTTACGAGTTATATTTGTTAGCAATCAAGTTGCTTTAGAGTTCAAAGTCTGTAGGGAGTTTGGCGAGCGCCATTAGTAGGTTGGTTCGATAATATGATTCCTGAAACGACCTAGTTAATTTTCGCAGAGCCTAACTTATTACGCTATTAACCTTCAAGTGGTCATAATCTAGATTACAAAGATAAAGGCTTATTTAGTTCATTATAAATAAGGATTTTTTACCTTTACGTGTACAATTAAATTAAGTTATGGAAATGTTGTGTAATTGTGTAATGTTGTACGTTTTAGTATATTTTAAGTGTAAAAAAATATATTTGTAACTTATACAAACTGTATATTTAGCTTTTTTAATTTTTTAATATTTACTCTGTCCAACATTTTTATTGAAATGGAAATTAATACTCTTTGCAATGAGCCAAGGTGCAACATTTTGAATTAGTATTTATTTTAGTGGCATACGTGAACCTTGGTACATCACTTATGGCGGACGGCCGGCTAGCGGAGGCGGCGAGTGCGCTCCGCACAGGCGCCCGTGTGGAAGGTCTGAGGGTCAGGGATAGAAGGGAGCATGATGCTGCAAGGGTATCAGCTCTGGTGCAGTTGGCTACGCTACACTCCCAGCGTGGACATTGGCATAAAGCTCTCTCGGCGTACAAAGAAGCACTACAAATACTACCAGATACAAACTCACCTGTTGTTGGATGGACGAGACATGTATGATATTACCAATATTTTGCGTTGATTTAGCATTTTAGTGATTAACTTGTCGAAAAAGTCGAAATGATTATTCCATCTTTGAGATTCGAATATTGAATTACTTTGTATGATAGAGATTAAAAAAAATATTGGGTTGTTTTTTAAGCCATGTTTTCGGTCACTATTCCGATCTTTAGATCAGCTTAATTTTAAGAAATGGATTTAAAATGGTAGTTAAAAGTGAAGGGTTTAAGGTCGAATATTGTTTCTGCAGTTGCGTTATTATAACTCTAAAATTTTGATTTAATTTCAGAGTGTCTTATCGATGGCTGGTGAAATTTATATACAATTGCAGCAATGGCCACAAGCGGAGCATAGCATATTGTCCGCTTTAGCTGTCGCACCAAAAGATCTGGGCACACACATTACGCTAGCTCAGATTTTAGCGAGAAATGTAAATATTTATACGTTTATTCGTGATCTTAAATCAAATTTAAACGTAAGGTATTATAATTATTTAAAAAATTACAGACTAGTAGAGCTCTAGAGGCAGAAATGTGGTTCAAAAGAGCAGTAACGTTAGCACCAGATGATCCTTCAGTTAGAGATCAATTTGGTGAGTATCCCAGATATGATAATGAAATGTGTTTACAATAAAAATTCTTTCATATTTATCAATACATTTATTTCCATAACCATTTGTACAGGTATGTTCTTGAGATCACAACGAAGGCTACGCGAATCGGCGGAGCAGCTGGTTCGCGCGGCGCAGTTGTCGCCGGCAGACGGAACGCGCGCGGCGGCCGCGGCAAGAGCGTTGCGTGACGCACGGCGATGCCGCTCCGCTGAGCGTTGGTATGCTCGTGCTGTCGAGCTTAATCCAGAGGTGAGAGAAGAAATGTGTACTTAGAAAACACTATTTATAATTCTTCGTATCATTTTTTCTCCCTGATAATCTGTCCCAAACAAGTACTTTATTCAAGTATAAAGAAATATATTATGTTTTGTTTACAGGACGGAGCATACCATTCCAATCTAGGTGCGATACTGCACTTGAATGGTAAATACGCCGCCGCGGCCGCGTCTTACCGTCGCGCGTTGCAGTTACAGCCTAACGATGAAATAACTATTACAAATCTAAAAAGAGTTCGAACATTAATGAGTAAGCAGCGTAGAAAATAAGATATAATATAGATAGCACAGCGATTTACCTCTATTTATCATCAATTGAATTAAATAGGATGTCAATTGCCAAATACAAGAATGTATCAAGCGTAAGATGAAGTTAATTTGTACCTGCAGACTTAAGGAATATAATATTTTATATTTTTCATTTTAAATATATAATCCTAATATGTTTAAGGATACTACATTACATTACGCATGGGCGTCGTCGGGGACCTAGAGGGGGCAGCTGCTCCCCATAGAGAATCGCAAAATGTAAAATAGATATAAAAACTAATTCTAGGATCACATTAATGACAGCTGCCCCCACTAGAACTACGCAGATCAATGGCTGGCGACGCCTATAACATTACATTAAGAAAAGACAAGGCTAAAACATTTAAGTAGTACGTAAGTCTGATATTTTTCTTTACAATATTTAAACGTGTTTGTTGAACTATTATCTTGTATAAAATATGTTCACATCACTTTTGTTCTCATTGAAAAAGAAGTGAGAACTATATTCACGTATTTCAGCAGAATTCTATAGTAACTAATATGAAAATGAAAGGACACAATCGCAACTAATCATAAATTAAACTGAGTCCAAAATGTTCAAATTTAATAATGTGTACAACTAATATTAAATTCCCTATTAATTACTACTTGTATGTTATTTATGAGCCACGAAATGAACAGCCTCATAATAATTTCATCAGATAAATCTATTTATAACCAGTGTTACGTTGGAATTGATTATTCAGGAATTGATATTTTCAACCGAAACACGTAACTAAAATACTTTACACTATGTTGTAAATTAAACCTTGTCAATGTCAGAATACAATTTAGTGTTAAAAGCAGTCATATCAAAAAATCGCATGTTTATACCATAATATTCTGGAACTGCCTACATTTAGCTAGGCCTTAGCATTAAGAAGGTAACTGTATATCAAATTTAATAATGTATGTAATTTTTATTATACTGTTTATATTAACAGGCACAATCTTTTGTTTTTGCAGCAATTTTTATGGCTACGTATGTATCTGATAGCCATGGTTCTAATTACCTACGTACAAGGGTCTTCGAACAACGCTGTAGTAGTTAGATATTTGTACTGTAAATACTTTTTTAAAATAAAATACAATTTTATACGCGTGCTAATGTCGGTTACAATAAGAACCCATCATTTTGAAAATTTTGGGCTTATTTTCCATGTACATTTATTTCGTCTTCCATTATAATTTTAAATGTCTATTTTGCAATCCAATAAAACTGTTAAAGGCTAGTGTGTATTAAAAACTGTTTGTTCTCTCGTTTGAAGTAGAGACGAAGTAACTTCATTTAATTACATAATGTGATATATCAACGCAATTTCTTTAAATATCTTCTTTACTATTTAATAATTGAATTAAATTACTATACACAATTTAAATTTCTTATACATATGTAAATACGTTTATTTATTTGTGTTAACTTTTACGTTACATTTATTGCTTACATTTTAAATAAATAATATTTCGAATAATGATTTTTGTTATTTACATTTGTTAGTTATACATTGTCGTTTTAATGATTAATTTTATTTTGTATCCGTAATCAACATATACTTTTTTAATATGAATTGAAGAACATATCTATTTAAAGTTTTATAAGATATAATATTACATTAATCGTTGTTACATGTTAAATTTTAACATAACGTTGTAAATAAAAGTTAAGGCTTAAAGGCATAATTCGATACGCCTTTATATTATAATATACTTTCGCTCCTATTTTTATTAGTTTCTTCTTCACTGTGACAATAAATGTAAATTACGCTTTGTAGTTATAGATAACTGCCAAATTAACTGTTTACTTCCATATGTTATTTTAAAGCGTATAATACGTGTTTGTAAAAGTCAATTTGGTTACAATCGAGAAGCTTTCATTAGGTACTGGACCAATTCGATGACTGGACTCGAGTTTAATAAACCATTCTGTAGTAAACAATTAAATAAAAATCTTTCAAAAATGTACAGTCGGGGGTGTTATTTCCTACCCATACCGCAAACACTGTTTTTATAGTTCTAGTTTGGTGTATTCAATTCGATCGTAAGTGGGAAGGGAATTTAATTCCTTGACTGAACAATTACTATTTTTCTTATTTGGCATATCGGGACCCAAATTATTATATCCGGTGTGCCAACTCTAACACTCGACTACTATGATCAAATATTTTACTGACCTCAAAGAAATACTGTACAACTCCAAGTTTTAGGGTTATAGTCGTCATAATAAAATGAATATAAGTCAGAAGGGTTTTCAAACACGCGGCATACACGCGAAAAAAAACTCGTGGACGGCGCGCTATCTAAAATAAGCATGGGACAGTAAACATAACGTCTAACGCTATAACATCTGTGAAACACGCACTGATAATTGTAAAAGGTTTATGACATTATGATTAGTTCTTAGTATCAATATTCCCAACAAAATTTTATTTAGGGCCTGTCCCACCAAATTGTAAATTGTCTGATAACAATCCAACGTGTGAAATACCTTACGGAAATATGGTATTTTCTTATTTTATCTGACAAAGACGTCATTTTTACGCGCCTCTATCAGCCAGTGGTGGGACAGGCCCTTATTATTCTAAATATTTAATAGTGGTCAAGTCAATGAATAATTCAGTTGAATACTTAATAATAAAATAGGAGGAAAAATATCTTAAGACACGATATCATGTTATACTTAAGTTCCTTGAGACATTCTAAATTAGAATCATCTATTGAGGCGATGGCTTTGTAATACAGCCTCATAATAATCATATTAGAGGACTTTAATTTCCATGCAATAAAAACAAAAATACTTATTATTACAATATACGTTTACTGTACGATGTTAGAAGTGGGAAGGGAATTGAATACTTCGACTGTACCTAAGCTATATTGTTTCTTCCATTAACCAGTTCATTTCCTATGATAATTTTACTATGTAATCATACCTATATATTTACGGGAATTAGATTCAGGAATTGTATTCGACATTGTTTTTATACCAGTTATGTAATTGTATTTATAGTGTTATGCAAGTAAAACTGCGAATTCCCAAAGTGATATTATATGTTGGTAATTTTGTAAATAAAAGCTTCGACATTTCGTAATTTTTTATTTCCCCATAAAATATACTTGATTATGGAAAAAAGACCAAATAACAATTGAGTGGGCCCAAAAATGATAATTAAAGTATTGATAAAATGGGAAATATGTATTACACCGAGATAGGGCACCATCAAACGTGCTTGTAAGTTTCCAAGTTTGTATGCTGAAATAAATCTACACAATTAAAGAACACTATTTCCAGAGTCCATATAGTACTGGTTTTAGCGCTATTAGCAGCCTGGGCGGAATTTCTACGCCCCTTTCTTTCCAGCGCCCTGGGCGATCGTCCAACTGCGCCCTGCTCTAACATTGGGACTTAGTCAATAATATAAATTGGATATCAATCAATTAGTGACCGTTTCCACGATCGCCATTGATAGTACCATGTGTCAAACAATTGTAGAGGAAATGTGATCCATCTTTATACATATATTCTCGCAGTATATAGTTTTAGCTTGAGATAGCGAATGTACATACCTATTGTTTGGGAAATATATTGAAAATAAAGTTTTTTACTCAATACATACATAAGCATAAACTACACAGCAACTTGGCATGCAAAAATTGCATAAAATGATTACAATAGATGTTTTATGAAAGTTGTTGAATCTACAAAATATGAACCAAAACAATGTTGAATTAAAACGGTTAAATATTATGTGCAAATGACCTGTAAATTGCCGTCAAGATGTAATCTAGTACGCCCATTTGTACATCTAATATTTTTGTAATAAAAAATAACCCAGCTATTTTCTTCAAAGAGAAACATTGCTTATCGTCATTAAAATTACGAGCGAAATATTCCGCTGTATGAAAAAAGGAACGACAAGATTGTATCGCAACAAGTACGCATAGAAAAGAAAACCACGATTTGCATTTAAAAGGAAGATAGAAGCTTGACATCGCTTACCTGAACGGCATGTCGCAACTTCATTAATATTAATCTTCGTGGTAAAACCAAGCGGCTACTGTGTTGTGACTTCATGCATAATTTCACTTTAATATTGTGAATAAATTTGAAATTCGAAATACGTAACCTACTCGGCTTTTGTGTTCGAAATTTAAATTACAAAAAACAATCTAGTCTGAGACTATTAAATGTCAAACGACAAAACAAATGAATACACGAAACAAAAACAATTCGTAGAATGCCAGCTAACTAAAATGACACTATCTTAGATTTGTTCAATTATTGATACAGCCTCCATTAAGTAAACGAGATTATAAACAATGCAATATTGATTCCCGATCCAGATAAAAACCTTTAATTGGTATTTATCGAACTACATCATTTTCTAGCCATACAAGATGCACCAATTTCACTACTAAGTCACTATATAGACACTACAAACACAGTAATGTGCCTCATCAAGTGTTGGGCACAAACCTTCCTTCCGCAATCGAATCAACATGCAAACGTCTGCACCATCACCGTGAAGTACTCACGTATTTACACATTCGCCTGAGAATTCCTCATTTCGGTACGAAATACAAATCCCATTTGGCTTGTTTGTAACAGACACACTATTTACGTTGTTTATACTTGGTTGATTTAGTTTGGTGCCTTAATGAGATATGTTAGTAGAGCCTCTATTAATGTTTACTAGGATAAATCGTAGTAGGAAAGCAGTTAAAATTGCGACTTACGTTTGTTTACCGCGAATCTAAATAGACCTCAGATACCCCTGGCATATTTGGTTTTCATAATTAATTTTTCATAATATTTCTTTTAATGAATATTAGTTTTGAGTACTAGGAACTACAAGTTAGTTATTCTTTGAAACTGCAATATATTGCTCTTTGATAAACAAAAATTCTCAAAGCCTTAGTTGATTTTCCTAATAACTATTCGTGGGTAGGTCCTTAGCTAGATTTCGTGGAAGGCAATCCAATTGCTTACAACATGATTAGGTTCACTCAGTGCTATGATGCAAACTAATTATATATCAAAATCAAGTTGATTACGTGTTCATTCGATTATAATTTACTTAGTATAATATACTGATTAAAATAATAATTAATCTATTTTTATTTGTTCTGGAACTTTAGTTGTGTATTTTTGGGATAGAAGTAGAAGAGATAAACAAAATGAATCTAAAAAGCAATATGGCCGCCATTACAGTGACGTCAAAGCC